AGAACAAGTGCCGTAGGTACAAAAACAATAACAGAACACAGTGCCGTAGGTACAAAAACAATAACAGAACACATGCCGTAGGTCACAAAAACAATAACAGAACACATGCCGTAGACTACAAAAACAATAACAGAACACATGCCGTAGTACTTTATTTGTACATAGAAAAAGTATAGAACATTTTAGCCATTTATTTGTATATAGGAAACAGTATAGAACACGCTAGCCCTTTATTTGTACAAATAAACAGTATAGAACACGCTAGCCCTTTATTTGTACAGATAAAACAGTATAGAACACGCTAGCCCTTTATTTGTACAGATAAAACAGTATAGAACACGCTAGCCCTTTATTTGTACAGATAAAACAATACAGAACATTTTAGCCCTTTATTTGTACATAGAAAAATAGTAGAGAACATTCTAGCCCAAACTTTGTACATAGAAAACAGCTCAGAATATTCTGGTCCTTTTAATTGTATAGATATAATGATGAAAAATAACGAAAATAAATACTACCATTTCAAAATAAGCTGGTTATATAAGTATTCTCTTCATGGATAAGAATGTGTTACAATATTTAACTTTGTTCGTTTCTTAGAACTGCATGCAAAAAAGTGAACGTTTCGTACGTTTGACTGTACGATAATATTACGTATTCAGGGAAATCAACATTTCTTGAGAAGTTAGGAGTTTGTTCCCTAGCCCAAAGATCTATGGAATGGATTGTGTTATTACAACACTTATTTATCTAACGTTGTTGTTTTGATATTGAAAAAGTTGATACATGAATCTAAATAGTTACATTTTAGACTATGTTAGTTTTCAGTTCAACTATTAACGATCCCATCTTTTAAAGTAAAAGCTTTGAGTATTTAACCAAAGCTGGAAAAGCGGATAAGCCGTAGCTTATCTAATGGTAATAGCTAGTACATTAGATAGAACTAAAATCATACAATAAACACATAAACTAATGGATGATCATACAGAGAACTAAATAAGTAGCAATGGAGTTAGATGGATAGCAAATAAATTAAGTTAATGGATAGATATTCTTTAGTAGATAAATAACTACATAGAGAAGGGCGAGAGAGGGAAACTAAAACAGTATAGGAAAAACGTTATGTATCCCAGCCGGCCTGAGGAGCCATGGTGTTAGGCGAAAGGCATCGCCATCACTGGATATAACAGATGTAGTGTGGTTGACGTATTATTATTTCTCTTTACTTTCACTTAGAAGTTTTTAGAATTACACACACTTTTAGTTTCCACTGTGATAAAAGATTATGAACAAATAACATCATATTCTATGCAAATAGCTTTTATATGGACATAAAATCCTTATCAAGCAACGTATCTGAGAAGTGTATCAGCATTAGGACCCCAGTCCAGAAATTTATCCAAGAGATAAACTAGTCTAACCTACAATTTAGGCTCTAAAGAGACGTACAACTACAGCGTATCTACGGGCTGTACCAATCGTAGAACGGAACCTTATCTAAAGGCTATGCCAGCCTTAGAACTGAAGCTTATATAAGACCTGTACCAATCGTAGAACGGAACCTTATCCAAAGGCTCTAAAGAGACGTACAACTACAGCTTATCTATGACCTGTACCAATCGTAGAACGGAACCTTATCTAAAGGCTCTAAAGAGACGTACAACTACAGCTTATCTATGAGCTGTACCAATCGTAGAACGGAACCTTAGCCAAAGGCTCTAAAGAGACGTACAACTACAGCTTATCTATGAGCTGTACCAATCGTAGAACGGAACCTTATCCAAAGGCTCTAAAGAGACGTACAACTACAGCTTATCTATGAGCTGTACCAATCGTAAAACGGAACCTTATCGAAAGGCTCTAAAGAGACGTACAACTACAGCTTATCTATGAGCTGTACCAATCGTAAAACGGAACCTTATCTAAAGGCTATGCCAGCCTTAGAACTGAAGCTTATATAAGACCTGTACCAGCCGTAGAACGGAACCTTAACTAAAGGCTATGCCAGCATTAGAACTGAAATTTATCTAAGATCTCTACCAGCCGTAGAACGGAACCTTATCTAAAGGCTATGCCAGCCTTAGAACTGAAGCTTATCTAAGAACTGTACCAGCCGTAGAACTGAAACTTGGTAACTTATTAATAATTTATACCCACATTTTGCTTAGAAACGTTTTATAATGTATGCGCTAGCTTTGGACTAAGTTATTCCATTTACGAAACGCTACTTTTTTAGCTTACAACCATACGTTTGGCTTCTATTACACTATATATTATCTTCTTTGTAGTAGTTCTCCCTCGAGAAAGGAAACATATTTGTATATGACAATAATGAGGCAGAAAGAGCTCAACTTATGTATTATATTAGTGTGTAATACTGTGCAAAGGTTATAATTCCAAAGAGTAATGCAAATCCGTACATACTTTATAAGCACAGACGAACACTGGGCTAAACGACGGCCTGAACCCCTGAGACCGGCTTTCACTTGTCCCACGTGCATACAGTTCTCCAGGCCAATCACTTCAATCAGCATATCTCCAATATCTGTACAAGACAGTGGAAGGTAAATTTTAACACTGTCAAAATGGTAATAACTAGAACACTAGACAGAAATAAATACACAATAAACAGATAAGCTAATAGATGAATGTATAGAAAACTATACAAGTAGCAATGGATCAAGATGGACAGACAGATAAACGAAATTAATAGAGAGATATTCAGTAAAATACATAAATGGTTCAGCAGATAGATAATTACATATATACAGGGGTGAGAAAAAGATAACTATACAGTATACAGAATATTGTGATTACTCAAAAACTACAAAAAAGCATATTGTTTACATTATGACCTAAAAAAAGAACACATAACGTAATATTCTATATAAATAAACCTATATGTTGACATAAATGAGCAGTAAGTTAATATTCAAACCTTAAAAGTATTTGTAAACAATGCATAATTGTTCAATGAATTACAAGTCAACATTGAACCAGAAAAAGGAAAAACTTAGCTCAAATGTTGAAGTTATGCAAGCTTTGTTTGTAATTAAGCACAAAACTACACAATGGACTACCTATGCTTTGCCCACCACGGGTATCGAAACCCGTACTCTAGCGTTGTAAGTGCGCAGACATGCCGCTGTGCCACTGGGGGGTGGCTGTAAGCACGAATGTTGGAGATATGATGAGTAAACTTAATAGAAATGAATAAAAACCTTATAACCCGAGCGCTTTCGAAAGGTGGACCTTTCTTCTTCAGGGGCAAACTGGGAATGTTAGAGTTATACTGAGTAACTTGAAGATTGTAAGCACGATTGGTGGAGTTATGCTGAATAGAATGAAGGTTGTAAACACGACTGTTGGAGTAATGCTGAGTGAATTAAAGATTGTAAGCATGAATGTTGGAATTATGTTGGAAAATTGAAGATTGTAAGCACGAATGCTGGAGTTATGCTGAGTAAAAGGACTAAACCTGTTGAAAATGTATGGTAGGTAATTTCACACACACAATTACTTTCTAGTTAGTTAATTCAGTAGTGAAGTAATGGAACAGTTTTGTTTACTTCTAATGGCGAGGACGCTCGACTCACAATGTACGGGTCGTGTATCGAAACCTGTCTCCGTACGTGTTCGCCAAATAAGTTTGCTTGTTTTTTTTTTTAATTTCACGCAAAGCTACACGAGGGCTATCTGCGCTAGCCGTCCCTAATTCAGCAGTGTAAGACTAGAGGGAAGGCAGCTAGTCATCACCACCCACCGCCAACTCTTGGGTTACTTTTTTACCAACGAATAGTGGGATTGACCGTCACATTATAACGCCCCCACGGCTGAAAGGGCGAGCACGTTTGGTGGGACGGGGATTTGAACCCGCGACCCTCAGATTGCGAGTGGAGGGCCCTAACCACCTGGCCATGCCGGGCGCCAAATAAGACGTGGGAACGTTGTAAAGTGACGGTCAATCCCACTATTTGTTTGTAATAAGTAGCTCAAGAGTTGGCGATGGGAAGTTTGACTACTTGCCTTCCCTTTAGTCTATCATCCAAAATCAGGGACGATTAGCGCATACAGTCTCGATTAACTCTAAGAGAAATTCTGTAACAACAATCTTAATTCTATTGTGTAATTGATAATAAAACCTAGCTCATATAGTAACATTATCAATAAAGTTGCATATATGTTCTTAAGCTTCTCTTTCAATGTCATGAGCAAAAGATCTGTAGAAATGTTTTATGCCCATATACTTACTTGTTGATATACTTATCCACTAACATATCAATAATTATTAAAAGTTTATAAACAATTTTAAAAATAAACACACACTTTTGTGGACATTTTACCTTGCACAGCTAAGCTGAGATCTATAGAGTTAAAGTTAGTAGTAGACCGATCTCGCTCTCGTTTTCTTTGTTTGGACATCTTTCTTCTTTGGCTGGGGTTGTCTCCCCAGAGATTGGATCCTCCATAAATGCTGGGGATGTTGAGCACTGCAATTCCTTGAAGAGATGGTCCACTAACTAAGTCTAATGGTAAACCATCACACTGGAGAATTGAAAACAGCAACAAATATTGTATCAACTTGTAACTATAGGACTAAAGTAACTGTCACACTTGAAAACAGAAAACAGTAACAGAGATTATACCAACTTGTAACTAGGACAAACAGAAAACAATCACACTGAAGAAATTAAAATAGTAATAGAAAATACATGAACACGTATCGTAAAGAGTGGAACATGAGTTATTTTAAGTCATAAATTCTATTGCTTATTTTGTAACATACACTTTAGTACAAAAATAGTTAAACATAACAAAGGTTTAATTTTATCTGGAGTAATAATTTCTTAAGGACAACGTTTAAAGCAAAATGAAGGAAATACTAGTAGGTCAACAAGTAGGCCTACCAGTAAACGTAATAATCGAGAACATTTTTAACTAGTTTATCACTGATTATAATATTCAAAATAATGATGAATATATATATATATACATATAGATTCATTCTTATATTTACAAAATTATTTTCCATTTGGTCATACCATATGGATCTAGAACTTGCTTAAGGTTAAGCTGGCCAAATTTGATATATTATCATTGCTATTAAGCTGGAAATGCAGTTAACAGCAATGATACAATTAATGATGCAACTGGTGTACTGACTTATGATGCTATACAGTTTACTATATGATCAGAATTATTAATTCATAAGTTATTTTGAAAATTCTGATTTACATTGATAGGTTACTTTTCTATATACAAGTTCAGGGCCATCACTAATTAGACATACACTAAAAAACTCCATGCTTTGGTGTAGAGGTGGAAAGGGTAACTAATGTATATATAAGCAGGAAATTATATCTTATTGATATGAAAAAATGTTCAGGCCTGCGAATTTAAACTTCATACAAGTTGTTTAGATTTTAATAACGGATTTTCCATAATTCTGCTACTCAAAGTTCAAAAATAATATTCATTTTTTTCTATCACGTAAGAATTTTTTACAAATCGGGAAGAATAAAAAACTCTTACTTACAACAAATTATTATTTCGTTTACCACAATGGAAATTTGTTATTATCATGTTTGTTAACAAAAATACAAACAGACTGAAGTAAAGGGAAGAACATCGATGTCAAACGAATATGCATCCTTATTTATCCTGATTCTTTTTTGTGAAATCTACGTCTTGTAGTTTCAAAACTACGTGTTGTGGTCTTTCTTTTATGTATTGCGTTATGACGTTTTGTGAAAAATCTGCACGTGATGGAAAAAAATGGATTTCCATCCGATGTTCTTCTGCACAGTTCAAGCAGCTACATTTATCACTCTCGACCTTCTGAGGAGCGCAGCATAGATTTCATAAAGTTACATTGAGCATATTTCAGAACTGAGCCATTTTTATAAAGTCTTCCACAAAAAGGAAGTATTGAAGCATCATCGATCAGCCAGCTACGGGTCGATTCTTTCAAGCAGCGTCTGTGATTTTATTTTATTTTTTGTTGTTGTTTGGTAATTGGTAATTTGCCCAACTGGTGTGGAAGATGACACTATTTTGGACAAAGGATTTGTTATCCATGTAGCCAGATCTGACGCTTAAATAGCGAGCGATGTTGACATCATTTATTTCTATAACCCCAAACAAACAGTTCCAGCTCATGAATAGGCTTCTCATTCATTGACTACGTAGTACCAAGTTCCTCAAAAGTAGAAAGATAACGTTGAGAACTTGTCGTGAACTTAAGAAGTTCAGACGACTTCTCTTTGTCGTTAAAGGAACCAATAGAGATTATTGTCCTCTTTTCTTAGGTATCCACCCAATTTCAATAACATTGACGATCTCTGAATTCTTCTAAACTCTTAACCAATCTGAAAACGAATGCAGACAGCCACAAAGGTGGAAAAGACAAAAGCATCTGTATCTGAAGCCCTGACGATGGTAGTAACAAGATCTCGGATTGATCTGGAGGCATGCAGCGTATCCAAAACCAATCATGGATTGTACCTTTGGTCTCATGGTTGGAAAATAAGCTGTGTCCCATCTCAACGTTTACCTCGTTATTTTTGGTCAAGAGCCTGTGATAGGCTTTTTCTTAAATAATGAAGCGCTCAATAATATTAAAATTTATTGGCCAGCCCTTTTACCACTCTTCAAACAAACATTCAATTAGAGCCTCTTTGTTATAACCACAAGCGAGGAAGTTTTTTTTTCACTTGTTTAGGAACCTGTTGATCCATTCTGATGATACACATCAACATTTAACCAGATTCTACCTGTTCCAGATGTTCAGTTTTTGTCTTTTTGTTTTAGAATAAAGGTCTCAAACGAAGTTAATGTGTCTTGATTTATGCTTCATTCCGATACAAATTATTTGTTTCGATGCTAGATCTATTTAGACGCCAATTTTTCAGGAAATAGTATTTGCTGCCGAACAAATACCTTAAGTCACGCGATGGGACAGCAATAAGTTCAAGGACTTACAACGCTAAAATCCGGGGTTCGATTCCCCGCGGTGGACAGAGTAGATAGCCTAATGTGGCTTTGCTATAAAACAAATAAACAAACAAATATCCTAGAGTCCTATTTGGAAATCTTTTATCCACGAAGTTTTCAACTGAATGGGTAGATTTTTGACCTGATAAATTTAGCTGTATTTTTGTCATCTTCATCATCTCGTTTTCCGACATTCATATTTTTTTCGTTTTAGTCCTTTGCTTATACTTTTGGAATATGTAAACTTTTGGTAACATGATTTGTGAAGGCCAATAAGAGTAGTGTTTAAATCTAAATCAAAGTTAAAATCGCTAGCTACATCTTGCTGTACGACATCAAGTTCAACTCATTTTTCTAGACATAAGATTGGCTAGCTACATCTTTCTCCACGCCATCAAGTTCAACTCATTTTTCTTGACATAAAATCGCTAGCTACATCTTTCTCCAAGTCATCAAGTTCAACTCATTTTTCTAGGCTTAAAATGCGTCTGCCATCATTATATACTCGGAAGAATGTTATGGTCCATTTTCATTTAAAACATGAGAAATTCGCATGGTACTGTAAGATCTAAACAATCAATGTGTATTTTCATTAATTAAAAATCAAGAGAAGTCATATATCTCTATTAATCGGGTAACATTTTTCCATGTTTTTTTTTTCGTCTGAAGAATTCGAAGTTAAAAAAGGGAACTTTTATTCAACATTAATTAGAGAAAATATTCTTATTTTCTCTCCCAAAATGTACCTCATTGATTTACCCTTTCTAGTTGAAGCACTGTTGAGAAATAATTTTTAAGGACTTAAGGCTTAATATGTCTGGTTGGTAACGCATAGGGAGCTAACTGATTTCACGTTGAATTTGTCAAATTTGCCGAAATTGTAAAAATCTTGTTCTAAGTTCCCGACAGTGTAGTTCAAACTCTAAAAGAAGTTTCAAAATTAAGTATGTGGATTATTTAGAGATTAAGTAAAGACACAGTTAACATTACCAGAATCTCAATATCTTCGTGTAGGTTTTTGCAAGTAGCAAAAAATGTCTCTGATGTTGCGAATTCAAAATACCACATCTTATTCTTCATTCTGTAAACAAAATATTAATTATACATTAATATTAATTGAATTATTTAAAATGCTATTTTTATCTTACCGTGATAATGATATAATAATTATATTGTAATTTATATAAATATTTACAAAGCAATATTAAAATAAAGCGAAACTAGAAACATAGATTCCACTAAAACTTATACTCCAAAGCTTTGTTATTCTTTCTTGTATTTGTAGCTTCACTTGATGATAAGGTGCATTTCACGAATACCTTTTAGTGTTATATTTCTTCAATCGACCGAACTTAGAATAGTTGATTTATTTAATTTATAAAGCAAGAACATTTAATCAATAATGACATTTACATGCTTTCACTTCGGTTTATACATGGACTGTATATCTATAAAGAATTCACTCAAACTTTTATTTTTTCTATAACTTGTTTTCATTTATTCACTATTACGTATGTTTTAAATTTGCAAGCAGTTTACATTGATATATTTTAAGGGACGTTCATACTTTATAAGAACGACATGTCAGGTTCCGTGTGGATCTATGGATCTTGTGATTACGACACAGCAGTTTCATTCTAACAAACTTATGTGATGGATATTGGTGGAGTTGTAAATCCTGTGATTACGACACATCAGTTTCATTGTAACAGACTTATGTGAAGGATATCGAGGACAGTCTTGATAAACATTTCATAAATCCTCCACTTTACGTGAACGTCTGCTTCTAGGTCCACATTTAAGTGAACCAACGGCACATTGGAGTTGACTGGGGTATCTGAAGAGGTACGCGGTCAAATGGGATTGTCTTGATTCCAGTTTCTTCAGCAAACTGTCTCATGGAAACTATATTTTCTGAGCTTTCGTCAACTTCTAGGTTTTGTCTGTTATTTTGTTAATGATACCAGGAGACATGTCCACCTTTATCATAATGAATGTTTGGGCGGAGGAATCTCTTTCACAGTCATAGCCTTCACTTTGTAGATGAAGGCGTTTTACATTGGATTAAGATGTGGTTTCAGAGTCCGTTGCTGTCTTAATCTTTTCCCTTCCTTTGAAGTGTTTTATTTTTTAGCCCTAAATTGTTTAACGATCTCGTGATTCGAATATCTCCTTTGGAAGTGGATATGACGTTTACTCACATCCAAAGGATATACCTAGTTGCATTCTTTTATCAAATGGTTGGGAATGAACCTCTTAACCAAATATATATAGCTGTTTAACATGCTGTCCTTTGCGTATCAAATCGCATCAGTGGAGACTGGCCCATTTCTTAGTATATGCAAATCTTTTTTTACCTAATTCTCTCTATTAGAAACTAATGTAATGTATGTATTCCAAGAAAAGTTCTGTTAAAAATATAGTTTACAGGATTCAAACCCATTATTTCTTAACTACGGAATCTACCTGTAAATAAATATTCAAACCTATCTGAAGGGTTTCAACTTTAAATGTTTTCGTGGTCCTTACCAGAAAGACACGTAACATAATGTGAGTTAACATATTTGGTAGTTTACAAATGTTTGTTTCTGTTGTTAAGCACAAACATAAACAATGGTATGTCTCTGCTCTGCCCCATATGAGTATCGAAACTCGATGTTTTGCTTTATATTTTGCAAATAAAAGAGTTATATTGAAGAAATATCTTATCGCACTAAGAAATAAAATAATGTTGTTTACCATAGCAGGATTAAACTACTAATCTTCAAGATATTAGGTTATCCTATTTCGATGCACTACATCTTTACCTTGTTGTTTGTTAAGTCTTCAAATAATTTAGGGTTACCTTCGTAGCTTAGCTAAGAGCCAAGTTCAAAGGGTTGTCCTTTATGTTTAGAGCTCCTAACAGAATGTCTGTTTAACAGAGATCCAGAGTCAGTAGAAAGTACATAAAGTACCACTGCAACACAAAGTATATAACCAATACGTGTCGTTAATAGAAAGTTTATAACTGAAACGTTGGGTCAATAGAAAAAAAATCCAAACGCTGAGTTAGTAGAGAAAACAGTCGAAACATACTGGTTAGGCAAATATTATTTGGCTGAAACGGGAATCTGTGTAAAGTAAATACCTGAAGAACTGGGTCTCTAAAAGGTATACAACCGAAACGTTGGACCACTAGAAATTGTACAGCTGAAATGCTAGATCACTAGAAATTATATAGCCGAGATGCTGGGGCGGTAAAAAGTAAACATTAGAAACGCCGAGACATTTGAAAGTATATAGCTGAAACACGGGATAGTATAATCTATATAGCAGAAATGCCGGGACAATAGTAAGTATATAGCTGAAAAGAGGGACAGTGAAATGTACATAGCTGAAAGTACATAGTAAAGTGTACATAACTGAAACGCTAGGAGAATATAATGTATATAGCTGACACACCAGGACAGTAGAAAGTATATATCTAAAACGCGGGGTAGTATAATATATATAGCAGAAATGCAGGGACAGTAGAAAGTATATAGCTGAAACGCTTGGATAGTAAAATGTATATAGCTGACACACCAGGACAGTAGAAAGTGTATATCTGAAACGCGGGGTAGTATAATATATATATAGCAGAAATGCAGGGACAGTAGAAAGTATATAGCTGAAACGCTTGGATAGTAAAATGTATATAGCTGACACACCAGGACAGTAGAAAGTACATAGCTGAAACTCCGGGACAGTAGAGGGTATTAACAAATAATACAGGGTGTTCAATAGTCTTGTTTTGGTTTTAAAAGTTTATTACAACTAAACCAAAAGAGCTAGAATTATACGGTTTTTATCACCTTGTTGATTAACAACTGTTTATCTTGATTTACTTATTGTAATCGGAATGTCCGGTTGCTAATAATTGAAGTCACACCGAAGATGGCGACTGCACAGGAGAGAGCTCAATGCGTTATCTGGTTTGCATAGTCGAGATCAGTGACAACTGTCCAACGGAACTACCACAGTCAATATGGCAATGATCCTCCCTACAAACCCACCATTAGGAGGTGGTTTCATAAGTTTCGGGAGACAGGAAGTGTGTTTGGCCTGCCTCGAAGTGGACGTCCATGTGTTTCTGAAGAAACCTTGGCTAATGTCCAGGAGATGTTACAACGCATCCTTAGAAAGTCTATTCGTCGTGCTTCAAGTGATCTCCAGCTACCAAGATCAACGTTACACAAAGTCCTACACAAGAGATTGCATCTTTAAGTGTATAAAGTGCATATATTGAGCTTTCTCCTATGAAGTCGTCATCTTCATTTAAACTTCAATCATTAGCAACTGGGCCCTCCGATTACAATCTGTCAATAAAGAAAAAAAACTTCATTAGTTAAGTAACAATGTGCTGATAACTGCATACTTCTAGCTCCTTTGGTTTTGCTGTAGTAAACTTTTAAAACCGGAAGAGGCCTTTGGGGACACCCTGTATATCATGAATGTGCTGAATCAGCTTTACTGTGTGATTTACATAAAAAGACTCTCTTGACTGCGAGGAGAGGACATTTATTCATACAAAATATAAAAATACATCACAGTAAAAACAATGGAAGATGAAAAACAAATATGGTAAAAATAGAGATAACGAAACCTACCGGACTACTTGTTCACAAACACATTTTTATTATATAAAGTTTTACTTTTAGTTAACAAATAGTTTATTTAACAAATTGTTCAAAACTTTATACTAAGTAGTAACTACACATCATTATAGTAGTATTGTTTCCAATATTATTAATTTGTTTATTGAGTATTTGGTTAAGAAGATTGTAGCTTAACTTTGAAAACTTACCTACTATTGAACTTCTCTGGGTGTTTCTCTCTTTCCAGATGAAACTTTATGGCTATTGACGCATCCTGATATAAATTATTATGTTTTAGTTTGGTACGATAGAATGATCTACATTATATATACATGTAACATTTACTATTGCAAGAAACAAATAAGAAAGGCCTTGAAAAATAATTGTTTTAGGACTGACAAGAGTTCTAAAGAAAACTAAGATTACAGTATATTATTAATATGCGTTTTGTTGCTGAAGTCCTTACAGAAACTTAAGTATGACATTTAAAGTAACTAAAATCAAACTACCATAACAAACGCCTCTTAGTCAAGCGTGACCCAATGGATATAGTGCTGACTATGGATCTGCGGGTCCATTATTCGCGTCCTGTTACCGAAAAACAAATTAAGAAATTGCGCGATACAGAAATTATTCACGTTGTTGCATAGAACGAAACCTATTACTTCACTCAAAACAAACGTACCACTCCTATGGAAAAATAGTTGTTAAAGATGTTACATGGAATTGGATCTCCCTTTTCCTGTGTATCGTTTGATGGAATAATATCAATTTTCCAACGGTCCAACATGACTGTGGTCGACTTCTCTGTTTTTTCTAGAATCTTCTCTAAGCTTTCGTTCTCGTAGCCTGTACATAATATTAGAAAACGAAATATGTAATTCAACTTATTATTTCAAGAATAAAAAAAAGAATCCTTAGGATTAACGTTTCTCTATCCTACCTTAATAAGGAAGCATCATTTCGTTTATCACGTGAATATAACAATACTGACTAAGAAAGCATGGTTTCGTTTATCAAGAGAAGAGAACAATACTGTCTATAACCTTATTGGTTTAGTCCTAGAAACTTATGTCATGACTTATCATACAAGTACAAAACATTGTAAAAATATATATTTTCGAAAAATTGTTATATTTTTTACGCTTTTTTAACAAGGGATAAACAGTACTCCACTCATTAGAGAACGGCTAAGAATAGGTTTTATGAAATTTTTATTACAAAAGTTCTTTACTCTCGATTAGTTTTCCATTAGGAGCTATTTTGAAGTTTACAGTATTAATTCATAAGAATAAAAGTCCAACAGGGTTTTCAAGCTAACATTGAATCAATGTTTAACATAATTGTTGTTAATTATACATTTCAAGCTGTTCTGTGGAGTTACCATCAAGAAAAGCTGCGGAAAAACAAACGAACTAACTAAACGTTTAGAGACTGTTGTAGCAGAATTTAAGTCCATGCAACTTTAATGTGAGATTCACCAAACAAACAGCAAATGTAGCTTACATACTGATTACTAATAGTAAAGAAAAAAAAGTCAGTTTCTGTAAAAACTATCATAGGACAAAAAGGAAAAACCAGGAAATTAAATAAACCAAAACATTTATATTATTGTCATAACATGACACCTATGTGGACTATCTTTATGTTCATTGGAAAGTCTGTGCTCCTCCTCACATTATTAAACACGAGCGAAGTTTCTATTTTCCACTAAAAAGCTATAACGTCATTGAATGGAATGAAAACAGCTTAGAAACAGGATACGTTTATATAGAGTTACGAAACATTCGTAATGAGACTGTGAATTGAGAGAGTACATACTTACCTGGACCTCACCTTAAGCATCTAGCAAATCATACATAACCTTCGTAATGAGACTGTTAGTTGATACAGTATACACATACCTGGGCCCCATCTTAAACATCTAGCCAAGTCATTTCCTGTTCCTAAAGGCAGAATGGCAACGGGTGGTGGTGACAAGAGGTTCATTTTATCTGAGAAAAGAAGAAAACGTAACTGTTCTTAACTTTTAGAGATATAGATAAAAGATACATCTCCCACAAGCAGAGCAGTATCTACTTGTAGCTATAAAACACAAACTTTTTTAATGACCCGTGTTTTCTAATCAGTTGTTAAGAATACTCAATAGACAAAGAGGTGGTAAGAAAGCTATCTTTCCACGTCAAGAGGTAACAAAACGATTAGGAAAACGAGTCAAAATATACAAAATATATCTATGGGTGCTTCAACGTGACTTTGCAATTTTATGATTGATATAGAAACTTAGTATTGGATAACTTGCGAGTATGTAATTCCTTACTTACTCAGGTTTATAAAAGATTTTTCTAACTGGAGACTACATATACTAATTTCGTATCTTGTTCTTATAATATATGTGTATTTAATTCAAAACATTCGGGCCATATGATACAAGTCTGTTTTTCTATCTGAGAAAAAGGTTATGTTTTTGCCGTGAAACTGATTAGATATAAAATAACATGCCAAAAACACAACAACAACAAAAAATTAGCTGTAGAATAAATCTAATTTCTAACTCTAAGTAAACTAGAACTAGGGCATGAAAACTCCTTTGTCGTATTAAGCCTAATATGTTAAACTGAACTGAGCATTAGAAAAACTTCCTATGGCGTTTATTGTCAAGGGTGTTTCGTAGGTAACTAATCCTTGCATAATGAACTTTATTTTCCAAATCTTGCTTTGTGCTCAGAGGTAACTGATCAGAATATAACCTGTATTTACAGGTAAGCTCAGTATTGGTAGCTAACACTAAATAACTCAATTTGGTGTCTACAACTAAGCTCAGTTTTATGTTGGTTGATAACCTTACATTAAATAACTCACTATGACATTTATTATATAGCAGGTCATTTGGAGATTACATTAGCAAGTAACACTGAAAATTAAGGAACTCACGTTGAAGTGTCTGATATAGTTTTTAAAGTTAATACGTCTGTGGATAGATAACATCAGCTATGTAACTCACCAATAGTATCTAACACCCAACCAACAGTTCCATCTCCTCCACAACAAAGAACTCTGAAGTCTTGTACGTCCTTGAAAAACTGCAAGCTGAAAATGTAAGTCATTGTTTTCAAGTATATTCCTGATAGATACTAATGACGCTTTGAAGTACAGGATACTTATTAAGATAACTCCATACTTGAAATTATTATACCTTAAAAATAGCTAACAAAGGATATAAAATATAATAAATATAATAAAATATATAAAGGATATATTTAGGAATCATAATTTTTTCGATAAAGTTTGGACATGGTAGAATATGTTTCAAACGTCTACCTGAAAGAAAATACTCTAAGTATTATCTGCTCTGAATAGTGTTTATTGATTTTACAATTTCATTACTAAAGGCTATTTCAGATCCTCCAAATTTTACGAACTATTCATACTCAAATTCCCTTTGACAAAACCTCACAGACAAATATCTACTTGTATAATGTCCGGAGGACATAGCCGGCCAAGAAGTGGGCAAAATAGAAGAACATATTAACACTCACATTTTATTCAAACCACCAGTCTCGTATTGTTGAAAGAATGAGAGAGAAAAAAAGAGATACGACAAAAGCGATGATAATTTGCGAGGAAAGCGAATTATGTATACAGTAGAATAGGTTTTTCGAACACTGCATAACAAGTCCAAACTTCCTGAATAAGAGATATATTTCTCAATCTGCCTCTGGTGAAAGTAGGTTTTAAATATGGAGTTTTCTGCATAATCATGTTGTACGTGTAATATTTCATAGCATGCATAACAAAATATTTTATGAAACCTTGTTCTTCCAATGCTAATGCGAAAAAATATTCTTGTAATAGATAATACACAATTCGTATTCAGATGTGTATAAAAATATTTCTTCTCTTAGACCAAAAATATAAATTACACTAAAAACAAAATACATAAGTACAAGTATAGTATTTAAATTTGTTCTATTGTAGAGAACAAAACCAACAGTAAGTATAGAAATGAAATACGAAGAATTTATGTTTTAAGCAGGAGTTGAGCCCTAGTTTTTTTTTTTTTTTTTAGTAATTAACATAAGGAACTAAGATCAAAACACTTTGGGATCAAATTGTATCCAGTTTAGCATATTTGACTTGGAATAAAAGTACCTTCATAATCCGTAAGTTTGTGGTGTAGTAATGAAAAATTATATATCAAGCTAATTACTCCTCGAAATGCGTGTTAGTTGTAGCATTCTGGAACTGACTATATGTACAAGATGTAAACTGAAGCTCAAATGTCAAATCGGGAATTGTTGTTATATGGTCTTAGGGATAATCAGTTTTAAACTCAATTGAAATGTTAAACATATAAATAGGAGACCTCACAGAAATGGTATGAACTTATCTGCTTAGCGTACGTAGTAATTATGTTATACATTTGTAGAAAGACAGTATCAATGTTTTTCGTGAAAAGGTGCATGTAAATAATTACAATAAGTTTTCTAATGGCAGTAAAGAAATGCTACGATTCTTTAAAACTGCAAAATCTTATGTATGTAAGTGCAATACATTTTCTAGTGGCAGTAAAAAATGCTACAATTTTTTTAAAACTGCAAAAGCTTATGTACATAACTACAATAAGTTTTCTAGTAGCAGTGAAAATGCTCCAATTCTGTGAAACTCCTTGGTGAAACTTAACAAACAATAAAAGTGACCTTTTTTTTTTCAAGAAATTTAGAAATAAAAAACAATTCAGAATTAAGATAACAGGTGTAACGAAATCGTGAAATCTAATCAATTTTGGATCTCTAAATGTATTTGTGTTATGATGCCAGGTATCCCCAATAATATAAATGAGAGACACAGATTTGATTTTTGGAAATCCATAACAAATCCAACATGCTTGTCCATAACATAAAGAGACTGTTTTAGAAAAACAGTTATTTCAAAATATGATGTCTGTGGTAATATATATATATGATTGATTTATTAATATTTTTATTATGGTCCTGAGGGGAAACAAAGCCGTCAAAAAATCGAGTTTCGAGCAACAATTTGGTTATTTTTGATTTTATTATTGTAAGAACCCTTACTTTCGCGAGTTTTTATTTCATTTTGATAATTTAGAATAAGATTACAGACAAACTGTTTCCTACCCTTGCATGGGACCTCCTTTGGTGATGTTGTATACTTGTCTAGGATTTAACAAATACTGGAATTTACCTAGAATCCTGAAAAAAAAAGTACTTTCTGTATTATCACCAAAGCCACTAACACAAAACTATGAATATAACGATTGCACTTTTGTGTCTTAGTATGGTTATTCTCAACTTGGAAATTCGCAAATTATAAAGCCACAATGAAAAGTTTCGTAAGCATGAAGCCATCTAGTGGTAGAACCTAGATTATTATATAGGATCTACCACTAGATGGCTTCAAAGTCGAGTGCGGTAACATATAAATATACTGAGTGTTTGTTTGTAATTAAGCACAAAGCTACACAATGGGCTATCTGTGCTCTGCCCACCACGGGTATCGAAACCCGGTTTCTAGCGTTATAAGTCCGCAGACATACCGCTGTGCCACCGGGGGGCGTATACTGAGTGACAGCAAGTCAAGTTTCAAAGTCATGAATAAGAGCGATGTACAAGCAAGAAGTGATCAATTGAAGAGTACGACTAGAAGTAATAATGAAAAAAGTCTAGGCATACCAGAGAATTTATTAATTAAACGGCTAAAACCGAAAACTCGCATCTGAAAACAATGCCACCAACACTATCGTACCACGCATGCTCCACCTATTTACAACTTTGTTTATATTATTAAAGATTGTATTACCACAAGTGATTTTCGGATTAAAACGGAATAGTAAACGTTGACTTTCTTTTTTCACCTGTTTGAAAATTTTCACACCTTCATGTGACTAATAACATCCACTCAACTGAACTCCAGTTTAAGTATATACGTATATATTGCTATAATTATGTTTACTATCTATAAAATAATCTTCGTTTCCCTGCCGGAGTATACCAGAGATACCTCATTCCTTGTCGTCCACCGCTTTTAGGGTTCACAAGAACTAGTAAAGGATGGGTGCCTGGAAGTGGGGTGATTTGAAAAGACATTGGCGATCCCTAAAACAAGTAAAAGATGCGAATTAAGAATACATTTTTAAAAACAAGCATTTGAAGTTAGTCATTTCGTACATTAAGATTTGTAGTAGTAGTAGCAAATAACGTATATTTTCTTCAACAAAAAGACCACATTAACAAACAAGAACCTTAGCTTTTAGAAAAAATATTGTCAGAGAGAGAACTCATGCCATGTTAACCTTTATGTAAAGTAAGTATCAGTTTACCTTGCTGTATCGATATCGGCCTATTTGTGAGTAGCAACTTGTAAGCTCCAGTTAGAGTGGTTGATTTTGAAGTATTATTTCTTAAAAGTTAATTTTGCTCTTCTCAACTGTTGTATGTCTCATAGGAAACTTTAAGTAATTTTTGACTCATTACTATTCAGCTTTAGACAATATTTTGTTGTCTATGGATCGTTATAATTATATCAGACAACCAATAAAAAATCAACACTGAAAGCATTAAGAACAAGTTCCACAATAACTACAATTCAGCTTGATAAGCATAATGACTTAAACTTAAAAGCATTTCACTTTAACTTCATGATTGTTATGATTCAAATCCAAAAGCATTACAGCTATATCTTCCTGTTGTAGTAACTTAACTTCAGAAACATTACAAATCATCTGTACCAGCGTTGCAGTTCGTTTCACAAGCATTATAACCAATTCTACGAATTCCTTAATTATACAATAAATCTGAATAATTAATAAAATAAACGAATAATACATCCAAGTACAAATTGCTAATTTATTTAAAACAACAGAAAATTATATATGTTTGGTTTAAAGTTTATTTTAAATTTATTTCTATTAAAACTGTTTTTGTTAAATGTAAAGATTTGGTTTTGGTACAAGTTAAAATAATTTAAAAATTGAAGATACATTTCCAAATTTTTTTTTAAATATCAACATAGTTGTACATTAACATCATTTGCACAAACAATACGATGTATAGAGGAGGTGACTTTAATTAATGCAACATGTTATATAATTTCTATAGACCTGTAATGGTCATAAAAGCTAACCAGTTTAGACAGTTATTCAAATGAACACTTATAAGAAATAAGAACATTATCATACAAACCTCGACTCAGCTTAACAAATATGTTTCGATATGTAATAAATAAATATATATATGAATACGTATGTCTTGGAAATATAATATTTCGTGTACCATCAGAGGTACCTTTGATAATCCAATAACTTTCAGTTGACACAATAAACACAATGTGTATGTACTTATATTACATCGAATTACTCTGTTGACAATAGACGATGAGTATACACTGATATGACAACAACTTACTGCTGTGGCAATAAACGCAACGTGTATGTACTTATATTACCTCGATTTAATTTGGTGACAATAGATCACAAGTATATACTAACATTACAACAACTTACTGCTATGACAGTTAAGACAACGTTTGTATATCGATATTGCAATAACTGACTGCCGTGTCAATAGATACAACGTGTATATTTTTGATATTACAACAACTTGCTGCTGGGACAATAAATACAATGTGTATATACTGATATCATAACAACTTACAACACTCTGACTGCTGTCTGTTGTTGCCATGCTAGAATCTGACCAAGATAAGTTTTTCTTTTGTCCACCTGACACACTTCGTTGTCTTTCCTAACAAATGATGAAAATAATTATATATATACAGCAATCTAAAATTACAACAAAATATGAATACATAAATTTCACGTTTTTGTAGTATAACATAGGTAATGAATTATTTATAAGTATATAATATAACATAAGTAATAAATTAGTTATAAGTATATAATATAACATACGTAATAAATTATTTATAAGTCTATAATATAACATAAGTAATAAATTATTTATAAGTCTGTAATATAACATAAGTAATAAATTATTTATAAGTCTATACATTTCAGTTAGTGCAGAAAGCATCAAATGTAATTTTTATTAGCCATAATTTGTTATAATAAAATAAATAAACAACTAACAGCTGTATTTTTAACTATGCATCAAAATATAAGTAAGGTTTTTTATGATAGTGTAAGCAAAAAAAATCTCATATATACCTCATTGTTACGAACCAAATAGCATGTATGCCGTGCACTATTGTGTAATAAAACAGTCCATTCTTTCTAATCAATATAATAATTCAACACTTCAAAGTCCTCGTTAACACTACGATAAATAATCAACGATGTACACATCTTCAACTGTAGAATAAATCAACTCACAAGCTTTTCTAATGATCTAGTGAATTATAACTTTTTATCAACACATTTTCAAACCAACAGACGAAATACTAATGAATGGTTTATATTTACTAGTACTCTGCTCAGGATCCAAGAATGAAAAGTTATGTGTAGGTACCTATCTAATGAGATGATTATATGTATCATGTTTTGTGTTTATTAACTTGGGAAATTGCAACAAACAGATTTCGCAATACAGTGTAACCTTCTATTTACTAATTTGGTTGTAACAGAAATACCTCCAAACATGTGTTTTCACATCTAAGTGTAACTAACGGTGAGAAAACGATTCATCAAATGTAATGGTGAAGTTTTCAAGAACGAAATTGCAAAACCTAGTATGTAATCTAACATCACCATTATTGTGAGAAGATTAGGTAACTGTATTTGTAATAACAAATATTTCTAATGCACAAAAGTTAGGAGGCTAGTAACACTCACAAGCACAATGGGGCAAATACAGGTTGGAGGCAAGATATGGTCTCTGTGCTTCCCGAGATTACACTCTGGTTTCACCTGGGAGGCGCAATGGTTGTGGAGCTACATACATGAAAAGAAAAGAGATATATATATACAGAGTGAAAAAGTTTTGTTATTTAGGTGATATCGTTAAGAAAATAGCTATCACTCTATTACTTAGACGATTTAAGATAAAAATATCTATAGTTCTGTTGGTTAGTAGAGTTAAAGTGGAAATGCAATTTATAGATCAGCTACGCTAGTATACTTGGAAGAAAAGAAGATGTCCCCCGGTGGGACAGCTGTAAATCTACGGATTTCTAACGCTGAAATCACGGGTTTGATTCTCCTCGGTGGACACAGCAGATAACCCGATCTGGCTTTGCTATAAAAACACATACATAAAAAACAAGCTATATAGAATAGTGTTGTAGGTTAGAAAGGCAAAAAAGATGTAAGAATAAATGTGTTTCTTATTTAATTTAAGAAAGAAATAATATATATATATATAGTCATTTGTAGACAACATTTCACGAATCTCTGTTGCTTGTGTATTTATTTATTTTATCATGTATTTATTCTACTACTTTTCAATCTTTCTACAGAAAATATAATTAGATTTCATACGTTTGTTTTTTTTTGAGTTTCAGATTTTCCTGTCGACGTAGAAATAAAACAAATCTGGACTAGCCTATTCTAAACTGATAATTAATTGTTTTCTTTACCAAGTATTCCTATAGTTTAAACAAAATAATTTACTATACCAAGGAATTACATTAGAAGTCTAGAACTGTTGAGAATAAAGCAACAATTAAAACAAAAAATCTGAAAAGTTCTTTAACATATAATTCATACCTCGGAGTGGCAAAAGTTCCTGATATATTACCGGATTCTCCGGAACGTTAACTGCGGAACTTGAACACTGAAATATGGCATTTAATAGTAAAATAGAACAGCAAAAAATATTTTCAGGGGCATATTTATTTTTTTAGGCACAAATACTCGAAATTTTATGATCGTTTGAAAATTGCAATTTTGGTTACATTTTCCGGAAAGTGCACTCTTTTCCAGACCGTTTTTCTCTTTATTTTCTTGTTCTTTTGCTTTTTCTCATGAAAATAAATGACAATTCTTTTACTATTTTGTTGTTTTTTGGGATGAATATTTATGTTGACCTTGAACAAGTACAGAATTAATAATGAAACACCTTCTTGGGCTCCTCCTTCAGCTGCTTGCATTTCCTTTTTTTTTCTGTTTGATTTGGCTGATATTTCTATTTATTTTCTCCTCATCAGGGAACTCTTCGGTGGGATTTGATTTCTTTATCATCTGATATCTTTCCAAGACCACTGCATAGCAGGCCTTTTTATTTGTACCAAGAATATCATTGATGATATTTGAAAGCACATCTGAAAAACGTATACGAGTTAAAACTTGGCCATTTGCTGCTCTTTTTTTCTTTGCATTGAAAGCGCTGATTGTCGAACAAATCTCGCTCTCAGATGGTAGATTCAATGCAGAGTGGTATTTCATTTTCAACTTCTCAAGCATGTGACCAGGACCCTTTTTTATCACTTACATTTCTATCATCATACATTTGCTTCACATCATCCGTATAATGATGACTATACTTTTTTCCATAAGTTTTTCCTTCAACAGGCCTTATTGCCCAACCTTTCTGAAAAGATTCGTAACGTTTTTCAGGTTCAAGAACAAAATTACTACCTAAATTACCATAATCGATACTTTGAATAAATTAAACAGATTCTCCATCTAGTAGAATTTCAGTAGGTTCAGGAAGACACCGGATTTAACTCCATTATGTTATGAAAGAATCAATGCAAAAAAGTTTAGCCAATTGTCTTTTTTTTTTACGGCTTAAAATAACCCTGTGTGACTGAGAAAAAATTTGTACCTCGGAGGTATGCATTACGTGTTAAAACTCGATAACTTCGTATTACGCTAATTTTCAGAAATAAAATAAAGTAATATTATTCTGAACAATAAGATATTGAATTACGTCAATCCATATAACATCTACGATAAAGTATCTTGAAAAAACCAGCAAAATCAGAATGGGTTAAACGTCTAGTAAATTACTATTATATTTATCTGTAAATATTGATTCGCATTATATATATATATATATTGATAAGTTTATGATTAACGTTTGATTTAAGATTAGTTATCTGATGTTATTGGTAATTCGCTAATTCTGAATTAAGTTTTCTTCTCTAACCCATTTAATTACCTGAAATAATCATTCTTATCTTTTGAGCATACAACACTCATATTGCACATGTAGATGACGAGAAAAGCCCCAAAGAAGAGGAGATTTGCCTTTCAGATTATAAAACCTATTGTTCTATGTAACTTAAAATATTCTTCGCTCAGTCAACAGTCTCTCAACTAACTTTAATCGATATTGTTAATACAATTTCTTGGATGAATTTACAAAACTAGAAACATTAATGAATTCGTAATACGATTCCTATAGCTCTAGATACACTAAATAGAGAAACTGGCGAGCTAACTTATGGGGCTTTGTAATTAATCGAGTATTTGATGCTTTACGACATTAAAGTTGTTCAATTGTTTGTGGGGCTTTGTGATCACTTTCATTCTTTTTAACTAAACGATATTTTATTCTTTTAAAGTAAATGATCGATAATACCCTGATCAATCTTAATCTTATTTGACTAAATTACAGAAGTATATTCCTCAGATTTTGTGATCAATCTAGATCTTGTTGTTCTAAGCTGTTGAAGAGACGTTTTTCCTTTTTCTTTGTCAGACAGCGAACGATATAGATTTTGTTGTTTTAAGTTATCAAACAAGTTCGGTGTTCGTGGTTTCTTACTAATTTTCTCGTGTTGTGATTAGACCAAACTATTAATCATATAATAACATCATTGGAATAAATTATATTTGTCATAAAACAATAGCATTATGATTATTGTGTTCGTTAAGATTACTTTATTCCTTGGGTTCCTCATGTTTTACCGATAACAAGAATGTATGATACTATTTCAACTGCATTATCTCCTCCATATTCTTTGCCTACGACTATTATACGCTATTCTTCTAGGAAAAAACTAAAAGACTGAATAAATTATGTAGTGTTTAGAAATACAATAAGGTTAATGTTATTGTCTTATGGCATTCACAATAACATAAATATTATTTTAAGGAAAATTATCATTTTCAAACTTTTTTTGTCGATGGTATAAAAAGTTGTTTGAAGATTTTTTAATTAATAAAATACAAAGAAAAAAGTCCTATAGAAAGTTGAGAAACTAACTTTTAGAACAACCTGTAAAAATAAGTACTAAGTATCCAGAAAAACAGCATTGTTAGAAACACTTGCTATACAGAAGATTATGTCTACTGTGTTTTTTCAACAATAGTATTTTTATTACTTGTACAATTACATTGTTGTCGATAGTAAAACTGTGTTTCTAATAAATATTTCCAAACTGTCATAGTTTGATATAATTTTTATATAACGGTGTATCTTTCAGTGATACTGTAGCGTTAACACTATTACGGGTTATATTTATTTTTTAGTGTTTCTATATTTGCCCACCGAGTGATATATTTTACTGTAATACTAACATTATTACAGAAGATACTTTTTCAGAGTTTCGTCAATAGCCCACCGATTGATTCATTTTCCTGTTACATTGACGTTAATACGGGTCACACTTATTTTTTCAGTATTTCTGTAGTAGCCCACTAAGTGAAATATTTTACTTTAATGTTAACAGAAATACGAAATATATTTTTTGGTGTTTCTGTATTAGACCACTGAATGACTTATTTTATTGTAATGTTAACAATGTTACGTGTTGTATTATGTAATGTTAAAAATGTTATGTGTTGTATTATGTAATGTTAAAAATGTTACGTGTCGTATTAGCAACAAATTGTGGTTTACTTTACCGTCATCTGGCACCATCGACAGTGAAGTCCTGTGATTCCGTTGTACGATTTAATTGGCTTCTTACACTTACTACATTTTCCTGTACAGTTCCCTTCTGTCCAATGATGCAGTAAGGTCTAGAAATGAAAAAAAAAGCGAGATCGTAAATTTTTGTTAAGTTCGCGAATCTCCTTTATACCTGGAATCCAGTTAGATTGATAACGCAAATAAGAAATGCCGAATACTTTGAGAGAAGACAAAGGATTCAAAATGTCTGTGTAGAAGACAGCCGGAAGAAGCAACCAATGCATCTTAGCGTGTGTTCTTTGACAAGGGCATTGCAGATCCAATAAGCTGGTCTCACAAAAGTAGTTTTTATTTTCTTGTATATAATACCATTCCTCTCAGAGTAATTTGACAACAGCACTAGTAGTTTCGGTGGAATCAGAATAAATATTGGACGAGAAAAACAAACTAAGAATGTTTAGTTTTTCTCAGTATTTTTGAAAAAGTTTAGAATCTTTTCATGGAAACAAAACGAAGGATTTTGAGTGTTTTTTTGGTAATTTTATATAAAACTTTAGAAATTGACTTTGTCAAAACCTAATATAACTAGAAATCTGAAATAAACATTACACGTACATCAGCCATGCTTAAAGAATAAAACGTAAAAAATAATAACTTTAATTGCGCATTGAATACAGAAAATTGGAACTAAAGTTTTCTGAAAATTAAGATAAATATAGTTTATTGATGTGCTCGTCCTCACGTTACACATCATTCGTATGATTGACTGTGCTTTGTTTGAGAACTGTAAAATTATTAATCATAGACAAACCTGGGACGTTCTCTTGGATTTCACGTAGGTGCCGATACAGGACGCCGGGGCTTTCTGGACACAGCGCTCGTGGACTGTGTATTTACAAACTGTAACGAAACACAAGAGCAATAGTTGGTCTATACAAAGAATTTATTAGACTACACAGTAATTCAACATTTCTAGTAATAGTATTAGATTGCAGCTTAGTTGTGTTTTGAATTTTAATTTTAGATTACCTGAAGATGAGAAGCCTCTCCTGGCTTCATTTACTTATGTATATGCCATTTTTAATACTCTGATAAACATCTCATTAGTGTCTAATTAGAGCAAAACAATGATTTTGTTAACTCCAAAACAATATTACTTGCAGTGTATGATAATATATCATAGTAAAGTATATTTTAATATAATACCATAAGTACTACAATTCTGCTCTAGTTCCACTACAAATCTTACTAGATAGCTGTTAAAATGTTTCTGTCAATGTAATACTTGATGGTTAGCTGCTAAGATACTTCTGCCACTGTAATGCTTGTTACTTAGCTGTTAAGATATTTCTGCCATTGTAATGCTAGTTAGTTAACTGTTAAGCTATTTCTGCCACTCTAATGCTTGTTACTTAGCTGTTAAAATACTTCTGCCACTCTAATGCTTGTTACTTAGCTGTTAAGATATTTCTACCACTGTAACGCTTACTAGCTAGCTGTTATAATATTTTTGATGCTTTTGAATTCATCCAAGATGGCAATGAAAATGCTCTTTCTTCGAGAGCATGATACCAATTATCGAGGTAACAGAAATTACTTTAGAGACATTAACATAAGGTTATTATACAAGATAATTAAAAATTGTCAACTTAAAAAAGGGGAATAGAGTTTTCCGACTAGTATAATGGTGTTTAAATGGTTTCTACATTTCTGCGATACTTGGATGGCTTTAAAGAGCTTATATTTGTAGTGAAGAAGAACTTAGAAAATCTTAGAGGTGGATATCTCGACTTTAAAGAATCACCTTAAAAAATAGCCCTACAACTTTCGCATGAGTTTGTTTAGTAGCAATGCATAGATTTTGGCGCAGTATACCTAGCCGTTTTTGCCAGTAGCGATGAAAAACTCATAAAATCTCTCCCTCTCTTTCAAGAATCAACATAAAAATAGCCCCATGACCTGTGCAGGAGTTTTTTAGTAGATTTTCCCAAGTTTGAATAAAATATTCATAGCTGTCTTTTCTGTAGGCTTATGAAACAAGAATAATAGGAATGATAATAATGATCATGAACCACGATAGTGAGTTATAATAAAAATTTCCCAGGAATTTTAGAAAAAATTCTAGAAGAACATATGGGCGAAAACCATCTTAAAAAGGAGACTTGTTCTTGAAACAACACTCAAGACCTTTTACCTCAATAGCTAGAGCTGCTAAAATATTGACACCAGTAAAAAAATTGATTTTCTGGTTGTTAGACAAAAGTTGAAATTCATCTATTCTTCATATTATTGTTATTATTATGAACCACTATTTTATAAAATTGTCTGGCAATTATTAGATTTTGGTTTCTGAAAACTACGATGTTGACATTGTAGATATTACAACTTCACCTCTGAAAACACCACTTATAAGTATTCCTTAGAACAAAAGTACAGTCAAGCTGAAAACCGAGAAGACCAGAACACGAACTATCTGCGTATCATTATAAATTTAAGTAGACTCTGATAACATGTTAAGTATTTGAGTTTTTACAGATCATGATATTAGTTCTCTAAACAACAACTTTCAGGATATTAAAAGGATACTTTTCTTAATACTTTATTTAGTCTCTAAACCTAGATGTAAGTTTTCTGGTAATGATTCCGTGTGTACCAAATAGTCCTATTTGTCCAAATAGTCCTACACGAGTAAAGGGAACTTGATGGACTACTGACATTTCAAATAACTAACAAGTGTCAAACATTTGTATTCTAACTATATTTCTTGGTATTTGTTAAAAGAAACAGATAAAATAACTTGTGAAATACATGATTGCTAAGTTCCAATATTCTAAAATATTACGCAAGATCCAAGCGTGACGAACGTTTGCAAATTCTATGTAAAGCACTAATAAAAATATAGATGGCACTCTGAGTAACCCTGCTGAACAGAGTGGGATTGATGAGAATGGAATTTACAAAATTGCCATACGAGCAGACGTTTATAACGAGATGTGATTTTTAATAACTGTCCATACTCATATAAGCAGAATTTTCTTACAAAATATGTCCTAGAGATTACTCAGAAATGTAAACAGTAAGTCCAAATATACAACAAGAGTTTTATAAGCACGATCTTAATAGTGAAAAATGTAAACATAAGGATAACGTGTTTTCGCAAGTGTAAATTGCAGGATTCTATTCTAAAAACCTCCACCTAACTTGTCTCGATGGATATGCAGTTAGTTGGTAAACATCTAACTATAACAAATCATGAGTTGAATAGCTAGTTTCAATTTAAGTAAAGTTGAAACTCTACTTACAAAGGCAACTTAGACCCTTCTTCCCGAAGCCGACCAGCATGTTGAGACAGAGGTTACAGTAAGCTGGTCGATTGAAGTTTTTTAACCGCCAGACATGATTGCCGTCGTCCTTGACATGCTGGGTTAGAAAACACAACAACAACTTGTTTGTAATATTGTAAATCTAGATTGTTAGGGACGTTAAAATAAATTATGTGCTTAGGATACAAACATAATAAAGTTATTTAAAACAAAGACACAAATTAAAGTGAGTACAAGGAATATAGCTAAAGAGAAAACTGTTCTCCCAACTCAAATCAGAGGAGAATTTGGAAGAGTATTTACAGTGATTCAGATAAAATGAAACATGAAGTTTTACAGGAAGTGTTTTACATAGACTGGGAACAAGCACTCATACTGAGAAAGGTGTTCCATTTGTTTAGAACAAAGGCGAGCAGACAATAGAGTGTTTAAAATTTTTCGACCTCCGGCCACTAAAAACCTTCCAAAAAGACTTTGTCAAACTCCTTGATATTAGACCAATTAGAATCTGCATATTTGTTTAACAAAAAGCGTAAAATGTGTATCAAAGTTACCAAATCTAAGCTCAGAAAACGAGAAAAAAAAGAGAATTTAGGGCTAGTAAAAAACGAATAATATGTACCAAAGCTTACCGAATTATAAGAAAAAAGGAAGGGGAAAAAATCAAACTATTGCACCAAACCTTACCGAATCTAGGCCGAGAAGAACCAGAAGCGGTATTGTTGTCATCCCTCCACGCTTCCATTCTTCTAAAGAAACTGTTCCATCGGCATCATAGTCAATTTCCACCATCATGTCTTGTAATATCTTATATAAAGAAGTTATATTCTGCAATTTCATTTTCATTGTGATTTGACAGTTTTGGAGCGAGGATTATCATATCGCTTAATTAATATATATATGTTAGTGATAAAATCCACGTTTAAGACATAAAACATAGTCCAAGTTTCAAATCACGTGTCTCACTGTCAGTTAACTACCTTAGTCTTTAAGAGTGAACTGAAGTCACTGAGAAGGTTAAAAGTTTCATTTAAATACTGCATGGTGAACATAAAATATATATTTACTGAGTACGTTGTTACATCGAATAACAAACCAACAACTACTCTTAATCACCTTTGTTTTATTGATGTATCTACCCAGAAAGTTTTCTTATGTTACATTTCATACTACACAATGATTAAAAATTTAGCTGCACGAAATATGAAATCAAAAACAGCCAGTAGCGTTTTTGTGGCTTTTTACTTGATACATGAATAACTCCACTTAGCTTTTTTTTCTCTCTCTCTCTTTGCATTAACTCATTGATATTGGAAAATGACAAGTTGTACTTTTTTGAATATGATATTTGAAAATTATGTAGCCCCAAGTGTCCTAGAAATAAAAATAATTGTATATCTGTCTTGGCTTATGGATAACATCCGAAGTTATGTAGCTTTCCACGTTGAAATATCTGAAAAATTCGATATAAGTTTGAATGATCTCATATGTTGTTGAGAAGTGAACTGCTTTGATGAAAAAATTTAGTAGGTAAAATATTCGCATTTGAAGTTTTCCTTCTTTAGTTTTTAACTCCAATCAGAGACATTTTCAACTTCAAAGGATAACCAAGAACACAAATGTTATGATATAGTTTAAAGATAATAAGAGCATCATTATCTTGACTTGAAAAGCAGACAACATTATTACAATCAGTGTTGTTAGTCTTTAGTAAAAACTAAGTGTTATACTTTTATAACCCTCTCTTTATTACTGATTTTGATGAATAGTCTTAAAATAAGTAGGACATGAGAATTAAAACACTACATCCTCTTGGTTGGTCAACGGTAAGTCCACTGAATAACAACGCAAAAATCCGGGGTTCGATTGTTTGGTTTGGTTAGTTATGAATTTCACGCAAAGCTACACGAGGGCTATCTGCACTAGCCATCCCTAATTTAGCAGTGTAAGACTAGAGGGAAGGCAGCTAGTCATCACCATCCACGGCCAACTCTTGGGCTACTCTTTTACCAACGAATAGTGGGATTGACCGTCACGTTATAACGCCCCCCACGGCTGAAAGGGCGAGCATGTTTGGTGTGACAGGAATTCGAACCCGAGACCCACAGATTACGAGTCGAGTGCCCTAACCACCTGGCCATGCTGGCCTCCGGGGTTCGATTTCCGGTATTGAATAGAACGCAGTGAGCCCATTATGTAGCTTTGCATTAAAAACAAACAAACTAAAATGCTACAAAACTTGTGCCTTTAACATATATTTAGCAGACCACGTCAATCACTATCACTATGGGAACGGTCAATATTGTAGTATTGGCATTAAAACGCCTTACCAAGTAGCCAAACTTAAATAAAGAAAGAAATTTGAAATATGGGGTTCTTTGACATCCAGTAATAAAACACATATACACATTTAGAGACTTAAAACTTTCTGTTCTAAAAAAATAAAATAAGTTTCAATATAAAACATCTCTAATGACCAAAAAATAAAAACATGAGTGATAATTCATGTAATTAATTTTGTAGGTTGCCATTTTTTAAGAGCTGAATGAAAACTGAAAATCCTTTGCATTCGTCTTGCAACTACATTTCTTGTCTCTAATGTATCGATTGAAATACTGTCAAATGATGACCATTTCGTTAACTGTTCAAAATTCAAAAGGTCAGATTTTATTATAAAAAGTAAACTTGTGTTTTAGTGTTGTATTTTAATTTAAAGCAGCGGGTTTTATTCATATAACTACGAAGAAAGTACATATATAAATAAAACAGAAATCATAATTTCATGTTTTTGAAATATTGTGCAAAGATCAAACATAAAGTTGTTTCGAAGCACGACAAAAGAGAGATATGTCAATCTTGTAGGCCTAATTTAAAGCCGCATTTATCTTCACGTGAGCATCGCAATACGCCTGGATGATCTGTCACCGCTGTATCAGGGACTGTACTTTAAGAGAAAAAATTGTTACAGAGAGTTGACTCTTTTTCTCATCACTGCATCCTTTCTCCGTGTTAAGCGTCAAAGTCCGGAACTTACCATTCTTCGTCTACCGAGTTGAACTCTTGACTTTCCAAAAATGTCGCCATATGGTTGGTTGAAATGAGATCTCTCGATCTTAAGAATACGGATGGAGTCGCTTCATCACTTTAAGCCTTTCTTTAGTATTGTACCAAGCAGGCTAATAACACTGATCTATTGATATGATAAATTTTTATCTCCTTTTGGTAGATTAAACGAAGCAAACATTCAGACTTTCAAGCTCTTTCTTTCTTTTTTATATCAAAGTAATTTATGACCACTTTGAAAGTATATCTGGTCAGCACAGGATCTGATTACGAAAACAATTTTTGAAATTCGAAGATGGTGACGTCAATGATTAATTAGTGGACGAACTAACAAAATAAATCATCACCCAATTACTTGATAATATATTCCCAGGATAAAGTAATTTTCTAATATAATAGCTGTAATTGCAGGTAATTCACACGCGTTATGTTGATGATTAATTTAACTTTGAAAATAACATCAAGATTTTTATCATGATTATTTAATGTTTTTTTCAGCCCTAATAAAGGAAAATAGCGTTAGATGGCTTAGGAGTAGTGGTGGTTGTTGTATAGCAGTAAGTATTAGTTACAAAATAATTAATGTTCCACTCATTTTAAGAACGCTGAGAAAAAAATAAACAAACTAGTACACTGTTTTTTTAGTTGTTTATTTCTAATTTCATGAATGGTATTTGTACTTTATTAAAACAAATTTAAAACATTTTAGGTTATAAAAACAAATAACCAAATCGAAGAAAAACCATACAACATTTATTAAATATTTTATTGTTAATGAAAATTAAATAAAGAACTACAGAAAAACAACATCAAAGAAACTCTGTATACTTAACAAACTCACCTCTTTTTTATCATAATTTCTAGCGGAAGGGAATATATTTTGAAGTCAGGGAGATTTGGATTAGATGAGGAAAATTGACATTTTATCAATGATTAATGAATAGCCAGAAAATTACACAAAATAGTTGGCTTCATGCATTTCTTGTTCCAACTGTGACAGTCTTTGGATCAAACTATACTGTGTGCTAATTTATCATTAGTACAATGTGTACGTTTCTATAGAGATATCTCTTATGACGGTCTGCACAATGTATGTTAGGTCAGTTGAATAACTGGGAGAAAATGACAGTTATAAGGAGTTATGGAATGCTATTAAAAGTAATACAATATTGAATTTTGTTCTGGACATTTTTGACATTTTAAAAAGAAATGTGTGATTTTAAAATATTAAGAGATACAGAAGTTTTGAGATTGCATATTACTAATAAACAATCAAAGTTATCAGGGTCTTTAATGATTTACGTTATAGCGTAAACACTAAAAAAAACAACTAGCAGTAGAACTTGAAATAACGATCTACAGTCTACACACATTGCCAGACATGGTAAATTTTACGTGTGATGTATTTAAAATTGAACCTTTCTCACGTACAATGGAAAAATAGATCAACTAAGTTTGGCGATTCTTCTAGCCGGATCAGCTGCTCTGTTTCTTTGTGTTTTTGGAACTTTGTTCAAAGGATAATTCAGGAAAAGTTGGTAACAAATCTTAGTATTTTGCTCACAGGATAATTCAGGAAAAGTTGGTAACAAATCTTAGTATTTTGCTCACAGGATAATTCAGGAAAAGATAGTAATAAATATTAGCATTTTGCTTAAAGATTAAATCAGGAAAAGCTGGTAATAAATATTAGCATTTTGCTTAAAGGGTTAAATCAGGAAAAGCTGGTAATAAATATTAGCATTAAAGAAGTTGTAAACAAAGTCTGTGTTTTAAGCTCGACTACGGGATTTCTTTAGTGGACTGTAGCGACACCTAACAATCTTAATATAACTAATAGTGTCATGTTTTTCTTAGAGCAGATTGGTCGGACAAAGAAACAACGTTTGAATGACCAAATAGTAGTTTAGTTAGCAAACAGTTACTGTTTTTCGTTTCGAAATGAAATATGAAATATAAAATAAATTGAAAAGCAGAAATCTTGTCCATTTTTATTTTCTTTATTATTATACAGTTTTGGCCAAAATGTTTGTATACTGTTCTATATTTATGTTATCGTCTACATGCATGGAGTAGTTATTGAGTAAATGCCCGCGTAGTAACAGAGAAGGTAGCGTATGATCAGACAAACATGTACGAGTTGTTATTCTGGTCTGTATAAATTGTTTTGAGCATTTTTTCGTCAAAACACGTACACACCTGTTTTGTATAAAATGGCGTGTTTTTGGTATAATATTTTTCGAAACAGATCAACGCTTTGTTCAGACAATTTCTCTGTACTTGATGTAGAGTCATGCCTCGTCATGTGCCAGAAGTCACAGGACGTCAAGTTGTTCGACTGTCCAGAAATGATATGACGCAAACAGACATTGCCAGAATAGTAAAGTACCCACAGTGTACTGTATCCAGAATCCTGAAGCATCATCGGACTACAGGAAACGTTTTCTTCAGAAAAGTTTACTGGTAGACGCCAAAAAAACTACCGCCCGAGATGACCGTGTTTTGATAAGGTTAACACGTCAAAGTCGAAAAACATTTTGCAACGCCTTACGACAGGAATGGCATGAACACATTCATTCCAGGTTATCCAGTGAATAGGAGACGGACCGAAAAGGGTATTTTTCAAGAAGAGCTATTTTTAAACCAATATTAACTGGAATTCATCGCCGTTACCGTATTACTTGGACAAGAGAACATGCCAACTTACAATTAGGACAATGGCGACATGTCATCTTTTCAGATGAGTTCTGTTTCCGGTTTGTTAAAGCTGATGGTAGGATTTGCGTTCATCGTTTGCCTGGAGAACAGATGAGGAAAAACTGTCTTTCCCACAGGGAACACATAGGAGATGGTGCAGTATACGTTTGGACAGCTATTCACCATGGTGGAAAAACTGCTCATCATGTTCTCTAAGGAAATGTCAGTGGCGCCTCCTCCAGGCATCACATGGAGACGATATTTCTGCCATATGCCAGGACAAGGTTTGGCAATAACTTTGTGTTCCAGGATGACAATGCCACTGTCCACAGTGCAGGTATTGTACAGGATTATCTCGATCAAGAGAGGACGTTACAAGATTTGCCATGGCCAGGAAAGTTTCCAGATTGAGAACTGTTGGGCACAACTGAGCCGGAAAAGTGTTAACTAAGACCCTAAACCAGTTAATGTAGCTGAGTTGCAGCATTTTTTAGTGACAAATTGGGATGAAATAACGGTGGGTTACACCAATAACCTCATCGACAGCATGTCACATTGTGGAGTTTATTACAGTATGTGGAGGACCAACCAAATACTGAATGTTTAAATATGAACTGATATAAGGTTACAGACGCTATTTATTATAAATGATTGTTATTATATATTGTCATTATATATATTTTGTTAAGGTTTTGTTGTTGTGATATAAGAAATGATGAATTACACATCTTTCTACAGGTGTCTGATAAAATTATTTGCTGTTCTAATAAATCGTTCATGATGTCCATAGAACCTGTCTCATTATACAAATTACATAAGTAGATGTTTAATATAATATGCATCTGTAATCTTGACAGCTCTAAGTGTATTTGTATTCCATCTTGATAATAAGATCTTATTTGTTACAAAGTGTACAAACATTTTGGCCAAGACAATATATCTTGCTATGCGCATAAATAACTAAATACCCTAATATCAGCTAGTAGAGATATTTTACAATATCTTTGAACTTGTGTTAAAAGGGTTCCACGGAGTCAGATATAGAACTAATCAAAGAACAGTTAAAATTACATTTAAAAAATCAAAGCAAATAATTTAAGTACAAGTAAGTTCTGCTGACTCTTTCATTATGCTTAGTTTATAGACGAAATATCAGCTGACTCTTTGATTTGAATATCAGCTGATTCTTTTATATGAATATGCCTACAGATTTTATGTATAAAAATGATCAGAATTATATATATATATATAGGTTTCTTATTCTTCAACGACATTCTTTTCAGCACGATATTTCATAATCTTTAAACTGATTTCATTGATTCTGTCTGATATTAATCAAAGTGGGTCCATATAATGAGAATATTAACTGTACTGTTAGTTATATAGATAAGGAAACCTAAACCGAAACTTTAATCTCTTAACTAATTATTGTACACAAAGTCCCCGAAGGATACCCACAGAACTAATTAATTCTGACATATTATTTTAACTTTAAAAGTTAATATAGGTCCTTTTTAGGAGATTCGAAACTATGCTTAATTTTCCATAGTACAAAATCCCCTTTTTAGCTGTGTTGCTACTTTCAGGTTTATCATTGTGACCCCCCCTCAGTATGTCTGCAGACTTACGACACTAAAAATCGGATTTTGATATCCATGGTGGGCAGAATAAAGATAGCCCATTTTGTAGCTATTTGCATAACATGAACCAATTTATCATCTTTATCATCATTAATTAGCTAAAGCAATGTGCTTGATACTAGACTCACCGGTTTCAGTTCACTAACATCCCAACCTAGGTATTCTGCTACAGACATCATCTGGTTTACTATGCAGTCCATCTCCTAAAGTATAGAAAATATTAAGATTGTTTTGATTCTATTCATTCATTCTTTCAAAATATATACACAAATAATATTATGTTAGAGAGACAAAAATGTCTCCATTTTTAATGTTGCTCGTTACTAATTCTTTCGAAATATATACAGAGAATGTTATGTTAGAGGGACAAAAATGTCTCAGTTTACTATGTTGCTCATTAGCAATTCTTCAAAACATGCACAGAGAATGTTATGTTAGAGGGACAAGAATGTCTCAGTTTACTATGTTGCTCATTAGCAATTCTTCAAAACATGCACAAAGAATGTTATGTTAAAGGGACAAAAGTGTTTCAGTTTACTATGTTGCTCATTAGCAATTCTTCAAAACATGCAAAAAGAATGTTATGTTAAAGGAACAAAAGTGTTTCAGTTTACTATGTTGCTCATTAGCAATTGTTTGTTTGTTTTGAATTTCGCGCAAAGCTACACGAGGACAATCTGCGCTAGCCGTCCCTAATTTAGCAGTGAAAGGGATGGCTAGAAACCGAGTTTTGATACCCGTGGTGGGCAGAGCACAAATAGCCAAATGTGTAGCTATTGCTTGATTACAAACAAACAAATCCTCAGCAATTCTTTAAAAGCCCGTTAAATAATTTCTACTTTTCATCTTAAATTCCGAAAGATGAAACATGGACACGACCAGAGTGAACGCTAGAAAATAAGCATAATCATAATGAAGAATAAAATGATTTGATGTTTTGTTGTTTCTTACATGATAAATGACTGTTTCTGTTGTAGAAACGACTGATCTTTTGGTGTTGTTAATACAGTATTAAATAACATAGAAAATGTTGATAACTTTTATATAAACGTCATGATTATACACATCAAAATCTTTTTGTTCCAAAATATTAATTATCAAAGAGACAAGAATGTATTATTTAATTATATTAAAAGTTTTTCGTTACCTTAACATATAATATAATAAAGTTAATTTAACCCTATTTACATATAACGTTCCAAGGATGAAATAGAAGGTTTAAAAAGTCAGAAAAACAAGGTTTAAGATCAACTACTTGACTAATTTTGAACAATTTTCTTATTTGAGAGCTTATAAATATAAATAAGTAAAAATCATAATTATGATATATCCATATTAGTAACATAGAAGAACCTTTTAAAGAAAAATAGTTTAAGTATCAATAATATATAGTGCTGGAACAATCTGTTGCATCAACCAATTTTTTCGCATTTGTCTTCGAAATGACCGTCTGTTTTGAGGCCCTTATGCATGTAGGTGCAAGTATGTTACATGGATGATTCAATACTGTCTAATTATTACATCAGTAGGTTTATGGGCTGTCTGGGTATTACATCAGCCGTTTTTGTTTTTTTTTACTATAAATAGAGCTTCTTACTGAGAGGCAGTTTAAAGCGCCTGTACTTTGTGAAAGGCACCGTCAATGCCGACGAGTACATCAAGATTCTGGAGTCCCGGTGTAAAGACTTCAAGCTACCCCCCCTTTCAAGTTACCTCCCGGTTATCTGAAATCGATTTCATATTACCCCCGGGGGTAGCCTGAACCTGATTTCATATTACCCGTGCACTGTTCAGATTACCCCCTCGCTGATTTAGCTGAAATGATAAATTATTATGCTTACAACTGATGATACGTTTGTTGAATAAAACACGTGAAACATACAAGACTGAAAGCTAGTCTCAATATCTGAAACAAATAAAAAATGTTAATTATATTAAAACCACTCATACACTAGTTCAAAGTACATGACATATTACATACAAACATAAGATATGCAAATATCCAACCTAATTGGAGAAATTGGAGATTTGCATGTTTCACATGTAGTTGATGTAATTCTGATCTACAGAGAAAGAGAACTGCACTACGGGAGTAATGACAGTTTAATGATAATTATTATTATTGTTATTATTATTTATTGTTGTTGTCAGTTTA